TGGGGCGGCAGCAGCTGGATACACAGCAGCTGGGCTTGCAGCAGGTGGGCTGGCAGCACACAGACTGGCTGCACTGGGGCCTACAGCAGCTGGACACACAGGTGGGGCGGCAGCAGGTGGTCTGGCAGCAGACTGGGCGGCAGCAGCTGGAGATGCAGCAGGTTGGCCTGCAGCAGCTGGAGCCACAGCTGCTAGAACCGCAGCAGGAAGGTCGGCAGCAGCTGGAGATGCAGCAAGTTGGCCTGCAGCAGGTGGTCTGACAGCAGCTGGGTTGGCAGCAGGTGGTTCTGCAGCAGGTGGTCTGACAGCAGCTGGGTTGGCAACAGGTCTCCTGGGAGAGGCCTTGATCACAGCCCTGGTCAGAGCAGACAGAGCCACAACAGGAGCTGACCATGGTGTTAGAGGGTGGAGGTTCTGGGTGTGTTTCCAGAAGAGTGAAGTTCTTGTGTCTGGAAGTCTCCTCACCCCATGTCCCCTTTTATACTCTGCCAAGGGGATGCTGGCATCAAGTACGATCCAGTTCCTTGTTATTGTTTGTCCTAATAAATAGGTAATTATCAAATCAGGCAAATTTGTTTTCCTGGTTAACTTTTTCAAGATAGATGGAAAACATTGTTTCTTTTCCTGATGTGTGAGGATTCATCCCACCTCTTCTTCCTTAATCGCCTCTTATGTGCCTTTCTTGCTTTAGTGTCCTCTAAGAGAGCTGTCACATGTCACATGACATTCTACCTGTATATTTGTCAGTCTCATTTTGCATATCACATCATTCAAGTGGCAATGATTCTTATAGGCCCACGATTGTTTTTGGTGACCATGTGGATCAAACTACATTTTAGTCTGATGGCTCATTCATTGTGGTCCACGTGGGCAAAGAAGGTCTAAGTGTATTACCTGTAAAACGGGATCACAGGCATGTGAATCAGAAGACTATTAGGTCATACCCCCTCCATACTGTACGACCCATATTCTAGACTTTTGATGGGAACTGTTAAGAGGGAAACCTAACATAAATTGTCATCTTTGTTTTTCTTTAGAAACAGATCTCCCTGAGTTTTAGGACCTCTTTGAAGGAGGTCTGATTTCAAAGTAGTTAAATCACTCAGCTGGTAACCAAAAGGTAGGCATTTTGAACCCACCAGCTGTTCCACAGGATGAAGATCTAGCAGTCTAGTTCCATGTAGATAGCCTTGGAAACCCTATAGGACAATTCTACTCTCTCCTGTTGGGTCACTATGACTTGAAATCAACTTGACAGCTGTGGGTTTCTTTGGATGGGTGGAGACAGCTGCAGAGATAGCCAGCAACTGTTGGTAAAGTTCAGGTCCCTTGACTCTGATCGTGGGGCAGATTTTTCTTCTGACTCTGACTTATACTCTTTCAGGTTTTAACAAGGCCTATGAACTCACACACACTTCTTCCAAGTTTTCTTGCTAACCTAAGTTAGCCTGCTCAGGGTCCTTGCCTCTTATTCTAATTCACATCACTGATCAGTTGCTGGGCTTTGAAGATGCCCAGCACACAGTCTTCTGTTCCATTATTCAAGGTATTGATCCAATTTCACCCTCTAGGCTTTTCTCTTCAAGAAAGGAGAGAGAAAACAGATACCTATATTAAAGGGTAACAACTTTTTTTTTTTTTTTTTTTAATTCATAGTGAAGATGAAGGAAAAGGTAAAGGGTGCAAAAACACGCGAACAAATGACCAATGTCTCAGAAAATGAGGGGTGCTGCCAGCATATGTGTGTGTGTGTGTGTGTGTGTGTGTGTTTCTTGTGGATTGAGGTAACCAAGGGAAGGAAGAGGATATTTGATTCCTGGAAAATTCTGTCTTTGAATATTATTCCCAATATGTGTCATTTTCCATTTTAGGATGGTCTTCATGTCTTAGACTAACCTGGCCTCGTCTCTCTAAATTCAATCATGGGCATCTCAACTTTGTTGAGAGACTTTCTATAAAAGACATTCCTCGAAATATTTGGAGGCCGTGAAGTTGGGAGGAGTGAATACGCAACGTCAGGATCATGGTTCCAGATGCTTTAGACATCCGTGTAGAAGAGGCTGAATCTAAAAACATGAAATGTCAGAGCCACGCTTAGAGCTGAAAAAGTGGTTATTCATGTACCATGGTGCATGACATTGAGGAGGAGTAAATACATCTAACTTAACTGAGAGAATTTATTTTAAATACTCACAGACCCTAAGGTTGTGTCCACCCTCCACACTCTTTCTCCAGGTATAATATTACCATAAAATGAGCACTATTATACCTGAGATTGGTTAGAAAAAGAGATTGAGAAGAAGAGATTGAAGTAGTTTGTAATGAAAAAGTTAGGTGTTTACAAGGTAGTATCTTCAGTATAAGTCCACACTTACTGTTGACCATTTCCTGCCAACAAACCCTGAATGCAAACATGGATACATTGATGGAGTTATGGTATTTACACTGGAGGAGAAAGCAGGCCTAATCCTGCATAAGCATTCAGAAACATCTGAGAAATGCATTTAATTTGAGGCTACATAAGAAGAATTGAGATAAAATACGGTATATTAAAAGTTAAGTTGATGTGATTGTGGTAGTTAAGTTTGTATGTCAAGTTGGCTGGGCCTGCTTTAGTGTCTGGCAGCTAGATGTAGTACATACACACAACAGAATACTATGCAACACTAAAGAATACTGTAAAACCTGCAAAACATAACATAACATGCATGAACTTGGAGGACATCATGCTGAGTGGAATAAGTCAATCATAGAAGGACAAACATAGCATTAGTTCATTATTGTGAAAAGTCAAGGCAAGATTTATATATGGGAGGAAATGGTCTTTTTGGTTACCAGGGGTGAAAGGGGAGGGGAGGGAAAACTGCAAAAAAAAAAAAAAAAAAAAGCAATGACCCATGTCAGTTTAGTTTTGTGTATTTCACTGTACATAAATTATATTTCCTCGGAAGGAAGGTTGGGC